TATTTTGAATTCAAACTTCCTCTCCAAGTGTTGAAACCCCTTATATTCCAACAAATATTACATTTTTTTATCATATCCTGAAAGTGCTTTTCCTCATCTAGCTGCCTGTTTGAGGTTGTTATTTTCCTGAAAGTAGTTGCTGCTGGGAACCAATGCAAATTTAAACAAAGATGCAGTTCATAAAAACAGCGGATGGACACTCTCATCAAGGGGAAAGACTGACTGCTTCAGCAGGCAACACGCCCCTGATTGTTTTAAGCACAAGCCCTTCAGAAGAACTCTTAGTTTTGTTCACTGAACCACAAAATTGAAGTACCATGGAAGAAATCCAGACATACAACAATGCCAAAATATGTATCACACTATACTGAAAGGCTTCAAAATTACTGTATTTACACAAGGGTATTACTGACAGAATAAATGAAAATTTTATGGTCTAAGAAAAGAAACACAATTTTAGTTAACTAGCATTTTTCTACTGCTCTAAAGCTTTTATTGGGAGCAGAGGGAATTTGTACTCAGTGAAGTAGATCAGTGAAATGATAATTTGTCTTTGAATTGAGTACTTTTATCCCATTAATTTCTGCCATTATGGTGTGAGATAAGATGTAAGCCAGTGAGTGACTGAAAATTAAGGTCCTAAAAAAGAGGCAACGAAACAAAAGAATACCTTATGCAGTATTATACAAAGTGCATGCTAAAATTAATTTTTACTCAACCTTTTATTGTAGCCTCTTTCAACCTCAATTCTTTATGCACTTAATCATGCCTGCTTCTGCTATACTTAAATATATTCAGTTTACTCATCAGATGTCCTTTTATGGATATTTGATTAAAATCCTCTTTGTTGCAGTTAAGAGGAGAAAAAGGGCATTGTAGTGGAGATATGCTGTAGGTGACTGTATGGTATTGGAAGCTTTCCCTATATACTGCAAATGAAGGAATCATTTATCATATTGCAGAAGAAGCATAAGACAATACTTTAGCTCCTGTTATTTTAAAAGTTAAGCTGTCATTATATGCTATTACTGATAATAATTCTTTTTCAAAGAAGTGTAATCACCGTGATGTTTTGAAAGTTCATTTTGGGGTAACAGGAAAAGAGGAAAGGATCATAGACATATGTTGTCAGAAAGTTCAAGAACTCCAAAGTTCAAGATATTTCTTTCCATCTATTGCACTGAAGTTGTATCTTTTAAAACTACCATATGCTTGTCTAATCTGTTCTTAAAAATGGTGAAGAATGGTGCATTACATCTTTGGGTAGCCTGCTGAAGTGCCTCATTACTCTTCATTAGAACATTTTTGCTGCTCTGAACCTAAAGTCTTTGCTGATTTCTACTTGTCCTTCCTCCTATGTGTGTAAAGAACAAATGTTCATCTTCCTTCTTTATAACTGCTTTTTAAGTAATGGAAGCAGTTATGTTTTCTACTAGTCAGACCATTCTTTTTTTGGACTAAATACATCTTCTATTTTTTCTCCTAAGTCATGCCTTCTAAAACCCTTTGCATTTCCACATTTACTCCAGTTTTCCCCTCTGGAACTTGCAGTTTGTCAGCATCATTCTGAAGAGAAAGATATCCACAATGAGCCTGAATCCTCCAGCTAGAGACTCCATACTACCAGTAAAGAGGGCAAAGATAGCTACCTCTCTTCTCCTCTGTAGTACCTCCTAGTACACATCCTGAAGTGAGACTGGTATTTAAGACAGCACGGCATTATGAAATTATAGTATACCACTGATCTTTTTATGCCTTTAATATATTTTCTGTCTAGCTGATTTTTCACCACTGAGAATGATGCATTCAGTTGTCATGTCTCTTATCCTCTTTGAGTAGTTTTTGTTAGTCTTTTTGAATTTGTCTTGTTGAACAATCCTGTTAAGATTGTCCAGTTAAAATTGCTCAGTACGCTGTGCTTTGAAAAAGCAGGAGCTATACTTCACTAATCATTTGGGGATTTCAATAAATCTTTTCATATGACAACCTGAAAAAACTGTTTGGAGGTCCATCCTGTGTTCATGCCCCAGTTCCACCTACAGATTGTCACTCTTTTACTTGTTTCCCTAGTCTGGCAGATCAAAACTCAATATAAGGAGTTTGTTCCACTGCAATGGAAACACTGAGAAAAAGAAGATACTATAGAATAAAACAGATTTCCCAGTTCTATGTTTTTCAGTTTCCATCAGGTGTGTTCTGCACTGTCACCCACAAAATTCATTGTTAAATAGTGATCATTATTCATGGATGCTCCGGGCAGAATTTCAATCTGTTCACCAAATCTTCCCATTGATATTGTTAATTAGCTAAAATACATCATAGCATCATCTCCCTCCTCATGTTGCAAGAGGATTAGCTTTAATGTTCACTGGGCAGCTTTAATATTCACTGGCTGAAAAGGTAGACAAAGTCAAGGCAGAACTGAGTACTGGGAGCTTGTGGAATTGGACCACTTCTAATCAGGCAAATGAACCTTGCTTGCATGCACTCAGAAAGCAAAAGAGAAACAAGTTTTCCTGTCCTCTTCTCAGCTATTCACTCCTTTTTCCTCTGCTGAATTTGCCTGTTGCTCCAGTTTTGCAAACTGATGACACACTGTGTGTGTCTCCACCTTCTGAGAGAGAGGGCATAAACCTCTTGTAGAGAATGCAGCTTAAGCAGGAACTGGAAAGCTATTTTAAATTGATAATAAAAAAGATAAATGTATGATCACTTGTTGAAATGATAATCAGGAAATGTTATTAGCACTAATGTTTATTATCACAAAAGCCAAGCCTAATCAATTTTAAATACATAATTAAATTCATATTTTGATAGTTTGCTGAATCTGGACTGTGTTTTAGTTGGGAATCCCAGGGAGATTGCCAAGTTAAAAATATATCTAAGGGGTCTAGAGCTGGTGTGGAAACTTAGTACTGCCACCCAGCACACAGAACACTCTATAGAGTGTATTATAGAGATCTTTAGTTTGCAGAGGGAAATCCAGAGCAGTCTTTTCAGGAAAAATGTGCACATGCAGCTGCAATCTGACTGTATGCCAAGAGGCTGAAGCCATAATGTGGGTTTCATAAGTAAAGTTACTTGTGCACAGTTAAGGGAATTATTTGTTTCTTCTGAGGTAGAAACAGAATGATTATGAAAACATTAATACAGCCTTGGAAAAGAGTTTATTTTGTTTTGGCTTGCTCTTCTCCAATAGTTAGTAATCATACTCATGAAGGATAAATTCCAGAAAAATAATTGAAAGGAAACAAGGGAAGAAAAGACAAAGATTTTTTTCTTTTTGCAGCAGTAAAAGCAATGTTGTGGTATAACCATGACAAAGAGTAATAATATAAAGCCCATTTCAGAAATCTTCTATGAGAGGTTTTCAAACACTGGGTAACTCTAATGTCATTTGAACTAATAAGGTATGCATTACAACTACTTTTCCCTAAAAATACCAACTAGTTCTATTTTTTTGATACACCCATAAATAAAAAGAAAAAAAAAGTGCACTGCTCATAGGCAAAGTAATTGAAGGGAACCTTATGGTTTTTTGGTTTAATTGGGTTTTTTTTTGGTAAATGAGAAAAGCACGTTAGACTTATTAAATGCTTTACACTGAGTTTCAAAGCACTATAAAAATAATTTAAAAATCATGCTATTAGGTTAATTCTTATCCATCAACGCTGCCTCCGTTCAATCTTAAACATCCACTGGTCAGATTATGTGACCAACACATCTGTTCTAGAGCAAGCAGCAGTCACAAGAATTGAGGTCATGTTGCTGAGAACGCAGCTGCGATGGGCAGGGCACGTCTCAAGGATGAAGGACCACAGCCTCACTAAGATCCTGCTCTATGGTGAACTTGCCACTGGCTGCCGCATGAGAGGAGCCCCGAAGAAAAGATACAAGGACTCCCTGAAACAACATCTCAGCCTTGGCCATATTGATCCCCATAGCTGGTCTACTCTGGCCTCCAATCGGGAGGCCTGGAGACACGCCATCTATAACGCTGCTGCTTCCTTTGAGAACACATGCAGGATCACTGTCGAGGAAAAAAGGCAACGCAGAAAGAACCGTGTATTGCAGAATACACCATCTAAGGAGTCTTTCTGTTGTGCCTTTTGCAATCGGATATGTCTGTCACGTATTGGCCTCATAAGCCACCAGCGTGCCTGTAGCAAATGTGGATAGAGCCTTCCCAAATCTTCGTTTGCGAAGCCTAGCCATGAATTGACTGGGAATCAGAACCTTCTGTCAAAAAAAGTAAGGGGAGATAATCAAAGAGAAGACATTATACTGCAAACTCTTGTGTTGTAAGGCAGAAATTAGTGTGACTTATTTTTGGTGGAGGTAAGATACATGGTTTATCCACAGTTATAGTAAAACAAAAAGGCGGAGCTTGTAGGCTGTTTGTTCTATTGTATATAATTTAGTTAATTTTATTCTGCCTCTTTGATAAGTTTTTCTAATTCATCTCTTCAGTTTTGATCATCATGGACAGGTGAGGAGAGGAGACGTATAATGGGAGGAAATTGATCTGTAAAGATATTGTCCCCTTTTTGTTTTTAGACATATCCACTAGAGAAATATCAAATCTCTCAATACCAATAGTAGGGGTTTTTTTGTTGTTTGTTTGGGTTTTTTTTTGTTTGTTTGTTTTGGTTTTGTTTTTGTGGCAGTGCAACATTTCTATAAGTGCATAGTTTGAACCTCTTGTGAGGTTGTGGAAGTGGCAAAACACAGTACTCTTTCTTAGCCAGGTCAGACTCAATAGAAGAAAAAACAAACAAACAAAAAAAAAGATGCACAAAACAAGTGACCTGGGTGATTCTCAACATCTTCCATGGAGACTAGCAGTTCCTTTGGAAGTATCAAGAAGGAGAGCAGTCTAACCAATGGAAGAGGTCATTACAAATTCAGTTACCATGATTTCTTACAGTACATCCAGCTTCTATTTCCCTGTTGCTGACAAGTCAGAAAGGGTTAATATGTGGAAGCTTCTTCTATGTCACCTTGTGTATCCTCCTTTCTTTTCAGGACGGTCTCTCCATTTGTTTCTCTTATCTGATGAGACAGATGGGTAAAATTAACTCAAGCAAAACAAAATTTATGATGAAAAGCTAATGAAAAAAAGCGAAACAAACAGCAAAATAAGAGGTAAAACTCCCCAAGCATCAAATCCTATACTAAAATAAATTTTCTTAATTCTTTAATGTAATAACTACAGTTTGTTTACCTCTAAGGATTAAGAAGAAATATGTTCTATGTCTTAAGAAAAAGTTTATAATAAACCAAAAAGAATTGTAAATATAGGAGTACATTGCTGCAATAAATTATGCAATATTTAATATTTTTCAAACCATCGGGAAGAGAGACATTTTGCTTACATTGTTTCATGTTTCCTTAAAACAAAAATACAACTCAAAAAATAAAAGAAGTCTCTCTTTCTTCAGAAATAGTCACAACTGTATAACTGGAATATGAATTCATACTATGCAGACAAAAGATGGAGAGGATGGCGATGTCAAGCTACAGCCTATACAGTCAAGATCAGATATACTTAGAATTTTTTTCATTCCACTTACTCTTTACTAGTAATGCTCTTTGTCCATAATATTAACTCACAATACCTGTCAACAATTAAATCTGACCATATAAATCCTGCCTATTTCTGCTACAACTTAATTCACAAATGTATGTAGTCCACTATCTGTGGTCATCTCCTGTGGATTGAAACCATTTTCACTATGGCATTTTTTTTTCCTTTTTATGAGCATTAAGTTATTAATATAACAGAAAAGTAAAAGATGGCAATATGCCAAAAATTACAATAAGTACTTGCAAAATAAAAATAGTATTTAAATTCTAACTGTCAACACCATCCTGGGGTGCTTTAGGATAAGTGTTTTTAGCAGGTTGGAGCTGGTGATCCATCTTGTCTACTCAGCTCTGGTGAGACACATCTGGTGTGCTGGGTCCAGGTCTAGACTCCTCAATACAAATAAAATTGTATTGGACTAAGTTCAGTGATGGACCATTAAGATAATTAAGGGATTGGAGGATCTCTTATTATAAAGAGAGGCTGAGAGAGCTGGGGTTCCTCAGCCTAGAGAAGGCCTGGGGGAATCTGATTACACATATTTATATTTTATATATATATACATTAGAAATACCTCATGAGTGGGGATGAAAAAGAGATTCTTCTTCATGGTGCCTAGTGAGAGGACAAGAGGCAGAGGGCACTAATTTAAACATAGGAAATTCTGCTTAAAAGTAATAGTGATCATAATGAACGTTCATAATCTCAGTGAGACACGAGAGTGAACCAATACCAGAAGACATTTACTACACAGGCTGTGTAGTCTCCATCCATGGAGATATACAAATCCCAGCTGTACGTGATCCTTAGCAACTTGTGCCAGCTGACTCGGCTTTGGGGAGTGCATTGGACTTGTCAATCTTGAGGCCCTTTTCAGCCTCAACAATTCTGTGATTGGTTCTGTGATTTCACAGGAAAACGATTTTTTCATAAGAAAAACCTTTCCCTCTATTTCAATTTCATAAATTAGTGTTACTTTACAGAGAAGAAATTTATTGAAATGAATCCTTAATTTATAAAAGAAATAGAATTAAAAATTTTTGCATAAACTTACCTAAGAATTTCCAGCTAATACTGTTATATTCTAGCTCGCAATAATGTTCTTACAGATGTTCCATACAGTATCTTAGTATTCATATGTTCTACTTCACTGTCTTTTATTTTAAAATTGGACCTAAATGAGTTTGGTCTAAAATGTATGTGCTGTGAATTGCTCAACAGTCACAGCAGTCCTCTTGGGAAATTCAAGAAATGCAGGGCTAGTTCTTCTATGCTTTATGTACTGTCCTGGCAGCAGTGGGATGAACTGGTTGTTATTCCTGTCTTAAAACTAAGATATGTAGAAACTTGTTTCTGTTTTTGGATTTTATTTTTGTTTGTTTATTTCTTTTTTGGTTTTGCCTTTTTTTTTTTTTAATAATATTTTTCATCTCACTGGGAGAAGGGTTATTTGTTTATTTGTTTTTTAGCTATTGTTTTTTTACTCTATTCTTGCTAGCTGTTGCCTCCAGAATACAAATTTGAAGCAGACAAGAGAAATAAGTTTCACTTAAGTGTAGCAAAGTTATTTAGATGTAGATTTCTGCTGTCCTTTTAGGAATGGTTTGGCATCGAGTTCTTTATCTAGCAAGGAGCAGATATATACTGAGTTCTGTGTCGGCTCTGTCAGCCCTGAGCAGATGACCTAGATACAAATATTTCACTAGAATAAAGTAGAATGCAAATACCCATTATATTTTTTAGCGTGTAGAACTACAATCATATTAATCTTTTGACCTCAGGTTGTTAAAACATTTTTCTTTAAGCTCTTCTGTGTCATTTTGAATGTCTGTTTTATGTACTATAAGAGTATAATAGGTTTCATAATATATAGAAGTAAGGTATATACACTCAACTAACAGATTAGAAATTTCATATAGTGAAGGACTAAGTAATTACTTTATTTATGAAGTCTATCACCACAAGCTGACATCAGACACTTTAGAACAGGACCTTATTTCATCATACTTATTTTATGCTAGAACTATTGGACCCCTTAATTTAGCTGGCACAACGGACAGAAATATGAAGCATAAACATTATATCATATAAATTGCTAGTATGAAACCTGTATAAATACAGAAATAATTCAGCGCCTGAGTAGCCTGACTTAATCTCCCCCTCCCTAGTTTTTAGACTGGTTAGAGATATGACAGGGAGCAGAACTCTAATTCACAGTGTGTCTTGCAGGCTGTAGCTGTGGCTCTGAACAGCACATCATCTCTTTACTGAGCTGATGGGAAAACCACACCTTATCCTGTAATAAGCGTGTTAAGAAAGATTCAAAGCTTTCACTAGACAGGAAATGAGCTCAATGCTAACGGAGAAAAAAAAAAGTCTGTAGAAAACCCTTAGGAAGTATGCATTTCTTTGCAGTTTGGGTGTTGACAGTGTGATCTTGTGAAAGTTAAAGCTTTTTTGAAAGGCTTTTGAAGCAACTTTCATGAAATTAATTCCCATTGCCTACCAGGATCAGCCCTAAATCTCAAATGAAGGAAAATCAAAGGTACCATACTATGTGCTCAGTCACAGCTATAGTAAAGTTATTTTTTTGTTAAGTTCTCAAAGTTACAGAGACAAAACAGAGTCAAAGAACTTTCGGAACAAGAAAGAAGAGAAATGAGGGTTGTTACTGTTCCTAACTGGAATGGGACTATTGGGCAGCCCAATCATTGTGACAAGTGAATACAGAGCTCTTTACACTGAATAGCATTACATTTGTAGGTATTTGTTCTATATATATCCATGGTGTTCAAAATGCTTCAGGATTTTACAAGAATTACTGACATTTGCTGGACATTATTAAAAGAAAAAAATTCAATGAGATGGAAACGAGCATGGTGCATATTTATAATAAATGTATGCATGTGTGTGTGTGTGTGTATAAAATAACAGAGTTAAAATGCTAGATTTTGCCTCAGATCTGCTAGGGGAGCAGATGCTGCCCCTACTGTAGGTTTCTGTGCTGTATGCGGTCTCAGAGTTTTTGGTCTAGCTCCTGGCCACCCTCTTATGTTCTTAGGACACCAAGCCTTTTTGCAAGATACCATGGAGACACAGCAGTTCCTGCCCATGGCAGGATTAGCTCATTACTGCCGTGTACAGAGACAAATAGGATCGCTTTTGTGACGAGGACCAAAAAACAGACTGGGAGAGATTCAAGGCGTGGAGGGACATCTATGGCAATTAAATGGACATTCTTATACTGGATTGGACACTAGCGGATGGACAGTTTTTCCCCAGTTTCACCCCAGTTTATTGTTATGTTGTTGTGAAGTTTCATATACCCCTGTTTATTGTTGAAAATTTTATACCCTCCATATTGTCCCCTTCTTCCCTCACACTTCCCTGCTTTCCCGCTCCTCTGCACCTGATTGGCCCCGGTTTGCTGCAGTGCAGAGAGAGCTACCATTGGCCCTTTCCCCTGGAGACCCAAAGTTGCCACCCACTTTTCTCCCTGTCTCCCAATCACCACACCCCCTGAACTGCCTGTCCCATGCTCCTCCCTAAGCCTGAGTCCACCCCCTGAACTTACCCTATTTAAATCCCTGTTTGCTTTAATAAAGTTTGGCATTGCTTCCCGACCTCTACTGTGTCCTGACCCTCATTGCAGTGCCGTGGTCCCATTTCCCTTTCCCCCCGGACCGTGGCACTTTTGAACATATGTTTGAATAGAAATTACACTTAGGTGTGGAATAGCTTTCTTTAGTATAAGCTACCAACAGCTGAAAGAGTAGATTGCTTTTTATGGTTCTCACTACTTGGAAGTTTGGAGAGTTTATGCTCATTCTTTGTTACTTTTAGTGAGATTTTCTGGTATCTCCAGAAGAAATATATCAACTAAGTTTTAGAGGAGACAGTAAAGTTTCCTAGTGTCTCTTTTTATTTAGATTTCATGAAAATACTGTAGAAATTACATGAAGATCAAAAAGCCAGAATTTGCTTTAGAACCTAGAAATATTATATATTTCATCAAGTTTATTTTTATGAGGTGGTATTGAAAAGCTTTGTAGATTTTAAATCTTGTATTGTCCTAGAGGCAGAGAAATAGTAAATCTACCTCAGCTCCACCCTAAAGTGTTTTTAATTTGATTTGTAACAAACAAATAGAAAGCTGAGAGCCAAAAAAAAAAAACAAAAAAAGACTGTGCAAATTTGGCCAGAGAATTTCCAAATAAATAAAATAATAAAATAACTTCAGCAATTTGATATGATGGCAATAAAGTTTAGGGATTTTTGTAAATCTTAGCAGTGGACGCAATCTTTCTTTCATTCCAGGAAAGCTGTAAAAACATGTCCCATGATGACGTACTGTGCTAATAAAATAGAATTATGACAAGTTTGATATACAAAAGAGGTTTCCTAGCCATAGGAGTGATTTAAAAGAAAGTTTTTCTCTCTGAAAACTGAATCATGCTGAAAAGCATGATTTTGATATCTAAGCTAGTCTTTTTACTCCTATAGTGACACTGAGACAAAGTGAGAAACTTAGGGATGAACTGCTCATTCCCAGTATGCAGTAGTTTGGTCACCTCAAAACCTAAATCAAGGCACCCGACTAATAGGTTACTGTATGGGTACTGATTGTATTCTCTGTACATGATAGTAAAGTCCCTTCAGGATTGGGTGGCTAACTGCAGTGCTGAAGTGTCAGTGGCCAAGTTTCTCACTAGAGCTCAGTTCCAGTGCTGAGCTTGACCTCCTTACTTGTGTAAAAACTGTGTTCTTCAGTAAGGTTTTATCTACTGCTAACACCTCAGGCTGAGATCAGGTCTAGCCTAATGTCACAGGAAAAGAGACAAGCTGTGGGCAGTGTGGCTTAATTCAAATATAACTGTGTTAAAGCAATTATCATGTCACGGGGAGCGGAGGAAAGCAGCCCTGACTCAATCAGTGAACTCTTTTTGAACAGATATCAAAAGAAGGACTAAAGGGGAACATTTTCTCTCTGCTGATATGATGTGACCACGAATCCTTAAGAGACTTCTGCTGACTTTGTATTCACCTATGGCTCACAAAAGAATTAGATTTCTCCTCAAGGGGAAAAAATACCAAAATTACCCAAAAAATCAATCTGTCAATCAGCAATTCCCTCCAGTGTATGTCCTCTTTCTCTTTGGCAATGCAGGAATTGTCGGGTGCTTTTCTCTCACAGTCCTTACCGCATGCAGTTCAGGCTAATAGAAGCATTTCATATATGGTTTTCTACTAATAACCCGTACTGTATAGCTGGATGCATGTAGATATTCCTTTTGACTATCTAATTGCCTTTTTTTTCTCCTAATTTAGCTAAATATATGATTAGCATAAACTCTAACTGTAGCAAGCTGATTACTAAACTCAGGCAAACCAAAAAAAGAAAATCTTATTATTTCATTCCATACTTCACAATCAACAAATACATATTTTTTTCACATGGTTATAACTCTTCACCAAATTTTTCATCAGTGGCTTAGGCACAAGTTTAAGCCATCATGACCAAAGTTTGTCCCTATTGTTCTGTAAATAACAAAAAGTGTAGTATACTTAAACATTTTTTTATTTGTTTTCTGTCATCTGCAAATTTAGGGAGGTGTCTAAAGAAGACATAGATATGGATCTCAATCTATAAGGAGCCCAGAAGAAAACTTAGACAACAGCAGGTGCTAGGATTTCAGGAGAGATAACAGTACTTTTAAGTCCCGTTTGTAACGGTAAAACTGATGTTTCTCCTCTGTCTCTCTCGCCAAGAAACTTTGCTCCCTAAATGCAAACACTATTTGACTACTGTCAATTTATTGGCAAATCTGAAAGGAAACACCTATATTGACAACAGCTTTTTCTTTACAGTAGTAAATACATGCCTCCAACAAGACCTTAGGTTGGGTTATATTTCTTGAAGACAGCATTTACTTTCAAGTCAATAGGAGTAGTAATGATAAGACACATTAAAATGCCATAATGATGGTACCAGGTATCATCACCATTAGCATATTGTTATTCTATTTTGTATATGCATGTATTTACTCATATATCTGCCAAATCTGACATACCACCATACTACCTTTAATTGTTACAAATGATTTGAGAGGTAATCCAGTTGGAAAATAAGAGTAAGAGTGGAAAAAAATAGATTCTCTTACACTTCCATGTTACATCCTTTCCCCTGCAGTTTTGGTTTTTTTGTTTGTTTGTTTAGGGCTTTTGTTTATTTTTCTTCCTTTCCATGTTTTTAATATGTAGAATTTCTTGAATTATATTCCTGAAAATAAACAGAAAAAAATTTAGAAACATAAATAAGTGCATGCTCCTGAGTCATCTGAGTTTGTTGGAGACAAACACTCTAAAAATATTTTTGACTGTTTTTTTCCAATTTCACTGATTTGGCAATCCTTTAAAAACATTCAACAAACAATTGCTCTTAATCAGTGGAACAATGAAGCAATATATGACACTACACTAAGCAATCATGCTTCATAATCAACAATGAATCCAGAATGTTTTGCTTACCTGATATCTGTGATAGCTATAAATAACCAGGTGGGATGATGAATTATATATAAGAAAGCTACTGTTTTGCTTCTCATGAGAAAAATTCTCTGAAACATTCTAATTCTCTATGAGCCTCTTCAACTTCAATGTCATCTTCATCTTCAGAATTAGTATCCTTGACACACTGTCAGATATTACGTACATTTAGAAGGATGTTCCTCTAGAATTGCTTTATCACAGACTGCCTTTTACAGTCTTCTCTATTGTGAAACTCCATAAACCTCATACAGTTCTCCCCCAACACTGCACTGCTTGAGAAGCTTTTATTGTCAGTCAGATATCTCTCTCTTTCTACTTTCTGCTGCAAGATAGTGATGATGAAAATTGCATTTCAGATGTCCACCTCCTCTTTTTTTTCCTTTCTGGGAGAACGGTAAAGTATGATATTAAAATCTCTGAATGCCAGAAAACTGTTATTTATCTGTGTTTTTCAGTACTCCATCTTCTGCAGAAACATCTGCTTCTATCCATGTCTCCTCTGTAAGCCAAATATATATATGGGATAATTTTTCAGCATTTCCAGACATGTCAAATGACAGTAAAAATTGAATGGGAAAAGCATTTGGTCTCAAGTTTTCTCTTCTAAATCTTGTTTTGAGCTTGGAAATTTGTAACATTCTTTTCATTCAGGTGTTCCCATGTTACTACCAAGGCATGACAAGAGATTTTCTTGTATTTGCTTTTGAAAGTAATGTGTGCTGTAGGAGTATCTTGCTCTTATATTGACTATTTTTGCATTTGTTCATTTTAACACTACTGACTCTTTTCAAGTCTTATAGACAATTTTTTGCCTCTCCACTTTTATAGCTCCAATGTTCATTGATGCAATTAGAAAGGACTAATTTCCATATCTTTAGAATCCAGGATTGTAGAGGGAAGTGAAAGTGACTGGATACCAAGGACAGAAAAAAAAAGGCAAATCTCCATGCTGAACCTCGAGGTTCTACAGTTATACCCCCCAAAATAGTCTTTTTTCAAGCTCCAGGATGAGTTAAAAATAGAAAGTCTGCACTAGCTTTTTATAGAAGGTAACAAGCAATGGGTAATATTTTCGGTGGAAAGAGGTCCTGTGAGAAGTATGAAGTCAGATTTGGTGAAATAACTTAGATAATTTTAATCTAAAGCAGAATTTTTTATGAAAAAAAAAGAGAACACCATAAATTAGTATTGAGTGGCTGTTTTTTAGAGCATGTTTAATTTTTTTTTAATAAAATTTTGAAGAGTTATGCAAATGTAAAAGTCTTATTGCAGTGGTACTCCGTCATATGCCAGTAAACTTCCAAAATCAGGATTTTCATTACAGTTGTTTACACCATTATTTTAAGTCATTTATAATTTATCAGTACAAATTCAATGCAGGCTAAATCATAGTATACAACTTTCTAATCCACAGAAAACATTTCCTCCAGTAGGTTGCTTTTATCAAGTTAACAGGATCCACACCAAAAATTTTGATATTGACACTGTTGTTTGTTCTTTTTCTTTCTTTGAGACATGTTATCTTTCTATTGAAAAAAAAAACAAACCAGAAAAAGAAAAAGAAAATGTTTTTTAAAACAGCACCTCTGTTTTCTCTATAGGCTATAATAGCTAATGTAGTATTAGAATAGCTTGCCCTTAAATATTCTAGAAGACATTCTAAATCCCTCTAAAAATGGAATTTGAAATTTATTATTTCTGGCAAACTGGAACAATAACTAAAAAGAAAAAAAACAACAAAAAAACCAAAATCCAACCAACCAATCAGCCAAACCTAAGAGCAGAAGCAAACTTGGTAAGTGGCAATTAGTTCAATTCTCTTTTAAGTTATCAGATCCTCCAGATAAATCCATTGCTCTTGCTGCAAGTGCAAGAAAAAGAGTGTCCCCATTGCCCTCATCTGGCATTTCATTGAAGGGCTCTGCTGCTCCCATTTAGCCTACAGGATTGTATTTCATTTGTGTGGAAACCAGGAGCTGCAGAGCTGGAGTGTAAGTCTGAACCACCACCAGTCTTTCAAGCTGGGTTGCAAGCACATTGTCATGAGAGTGCCTGGACCAGACAACATGGATATGTTCCTGAATACAATATTATAGATGTCACTTACAATGTGAATGTTTTATTGGATACATGAAAAAACCCCATTCCACTGCTGTGAATAATTAGGGTTAAATTGTTAAATTGTTGTGAATAATATATATGGGACATTGATGTCATTCACCCTCTTAAAGAAGAAATCACTTGCATGACATTAGGAAGAACTATTTGGTTCACTCTGCATGTCTATTACTAGAATGTCATTCAAAGCAGATGCATTTTGCATTGTAATCTGAGAGTAATTAGGCTCAGTAATGAATACAGAATAGCGTAACAGTTTTTCCTCATGGGCTCCATCAGCCACGGTGTTTCCTCTCAGCACAGCTGCTGTGATCGTGAACAGAAAGGGATGATTCTTGTGATGTATCAGTCAAACACTCTCGTTGCTATTAAGTCTCAAAGGCAATAACATAAAGTCTGAATTGGATTTAAACTCCAAGATTTGATTTATACCAAGTATTTTTTTAAAATACAAAACTCAAAAAATTATGCTGCAGTTCATCACTTCTTGTTGCAATGAGGTACATGTTTATGTTTCTCAGGCACAGGAGCTCACAGAAGCAATGGAATTTAAAATGGCAATTGTAAATGGCCTCATGGAAAGAAAAATAGTTTTAGGAAGAAGTAAAAATGATGAATATGCATACTCTTAGTAGTGAAAAACTGCTAAGCTAACAGTAAAACTTATCATATCTTTGGTTTATGACAACATGACTGGTGCAGCAAGAATAATATTTAATTCTGGTCTTTGTTCAGTTTACAGAGATCATGACATTAATGGCTATCACAACATTACTTTCTTCTCTGATACTGTAGTTTAAAAATATGTCATAAAAGACATGCAAAGAACTTTGAGATGTCTGTAATATGATAGGACTACTGTATGTGCTATTTCATAATTATTTAGGAATAATTCAAGAAGGAAAAGCTGCATTCAAGTGGAAGTGAAGAAGGCGGTCTGGTGCGAGGTGCTCTAAGAGTACCTGAGAGAGTTCATAGTGCCAGTCATCTGTGGATGTGATGGTAAATGTTGGCAAAATCACAGCAAAACTGCATCTTGTCTTCAAATAAATTTAGGCTCAAAATATTTATTGCTTGCCAATGAGTGTGTTCTAAGAATATACACATTTTTTAACAGTAAGAATGAACTGTTGTCAGCACAGAAAAAAAGGCCTGGCCTATTGCAATAATTGCAATTCTTTAAGTTGGGGTCGGAACAAAAAAAACCCCCTAAACTGCTCACTTTCTTAAACAAGAATCTTGCATAAATTTCCCTTTTGTTCTGACATTCTACTTGCATGTGTGTGATGTTGTGACTCTATAGAATATAATTTCAGGAAATAAAGATGTAGTCTTTGTTTATTGCACAAAATTTTATACAATGATATCAAGTAACACACTGAAATCTTCCCTGCTGCATCAGTTTCTCTTTCATTCTTAGTTTGATTCCTTTTTCTCTGCTGCCTGTTTAAATTCAAGCAGGAGTCATTCTATAATAGATCTCACACTGAAGTGATTACCTGCACAATTTTGACTGATAGTGACAAGAATTACCTTGTGCAAATAACTTTCATTCTTATTTACCTTATGACTGTTTCTCCAGCCAAGCAGTGTGAAGGAGCCTTCATGCAATAGAGAATGACATCCAATGAGTTGCACTTTGAATGATATTTCTTTTTTTTTTTTTTTATGGAGCAAGGAATACTGCAAAGCTGAGTTCAACATGTCCCAGCCTGAAACTGTTCCAGTCTGAAAACTGTCCTGTCACAGTACTGAAGCATAAATGCATTTTTCACTAGACCCAAGCTGAACCACTGCAGTTCATTGTTTATTAGTACTGAAAGAAGTTTGAAGCAACGGCTTCATTTTTCAGTTGTTATTATAATATACATATATTTTAAATTTAAAAGTCAAGGCTGCTTTTGTTAATCTATCCTACATATACTTTCCTGGTTTTCTGCATTGCTGTTAATGTTCACTAAATCATGTATGACTGTAGAGGTCTTCTTGAACAGCAAATCTAAAATGGTTGGATGGATGCCCATTGAAGTGTATAAACATGCATATGAATTCCATCCTATTGGCATATACAATGCAAGGACTATTGAGACTTAGGAGGATTTTATTCCTGGTTTGCTAGTGGTCTATCGAAAGGCTCAGGGACAGCTATTTTACCACTTGTGTTTCCCTTTCTCAAGAGCTGAGCTAGTGCTATTTATCTCCTTCCTAGAGCACGCTGATATCTGCAAGGAAAAGTACTATAAAAATGTATGCTATTAGTAAAATTAAAAAAAAAATACAAAGTAAAACATAAATAAAAAAAAAAAAAGTCCGGTTGTTACTGGATCAGTGTGATGTGATAGAAAACTTAAGGAGGCTGTTGTAAGGAATGGTCAGCCTTATAGAAAATTGAGAACTTGTCTAAATGAAAAGAAAAAGAAAGCCCCTAAAACATTTTAGCTTGAGCTTAAAGACAAAGTCCAAAGACTAGAACAGAATTAGAGAGTGGTTCACAGAGAATGCTCAAGTTGCTAGTAAGTAGCTGTTTACTTCTTCATCAGATATAAGAAGACAAACAGGATAATCGATGACCAAGGTGTAACAGGTTACTCAGGGATGAACAAGACAGAGCAGAGTGTGCAACAGATTTTTGTATTAGTCTACTGCTTAAGTCTTCGATAATTACCACTTCCTCACTATTCTTTACGGCAGAGGGATCAGAGGAGTTAGATACATTTGTTGTGAGTATACAGGAGGAATTAGACCAAACAGAAAAGTCAGGTAAGTTTCCAGAACTGGATGATGTTTGGGAGAAATCTTTGGAGTAACTCAGATGTGAAACTGCAGAGCATCTGGCAAAGCCTTGTAAACTTTCACTGTAAACAGTGCAATGCAATTTCTACTGTGCTAGAAGAGTAACTCCCATTACAAAATAAAAAAGTCTGGGAGCCACAGAGGGGAACCTGGAAACTACAGACTGGAAAATCTGATTTCTGTATCTAAAAGGCAAGACTATTGAGCAAATGGAAAAGCACAGGATGTTGAGAAAGACTCAGTATAGCTTCAGTAAATGAAAATCTTGACTCACATACCTGGTCTAGCTCTGTGTCTGACCGAGCAAGGGCACTTATTATTCCTTTCCTTTTATGAAAAAAAAAAAAAAAAGGTAAGTGTCCTCTCTCTAACTCCTAACAAATCACTCCAACTAATTTGATTCTCCTCCATAGTTCAGGGCATCTGTAGGATGCTGGTAGAGTTCCTTTTTCTTTCCCTCCAGTGTGTGAGTAACCTTGAGTCTCAGCCTCCTGATGTTTTGCAAGCCTCTCTTAACTGCCTTGCAGATGGCCATAGCTGGACAGGAGATACTTTGCAGGTGCATTACTGTTTCGACAGGTTTTGGGAAATTCCCATGGCTGCTTGGTACAAAGTGTCTTGCTCATGTGCTTAGTTAATGGATACTCAGGTTTGTCAAAAAGGAATTAGGTCTTTGTACTGGACAGATTTTTTCCTGCCTTCCTCTGTGGGCTGGTTTGTAGTTTACTGTGTAGGCTACTTTGAGTAAATTCCCTGTTCTTCTGTGAGCCTACACTTTCATGCACACAGAAACACACACATCCACATACAAAGAAATGTGAAGGAGCAAGATTCAGGATGGGAGCAGTTTCAGGAGTGGAAAAAGTCATATAGCAATTGACAGGACTTTATTATATGGACTTTATAGTTATTATGTGGTTTTAAATATGTTGCCCCTATATTTGTATAACCTGGGCATGCCCGGGCTTGCCAAGAATTTGCCTGCTCCTTGCTTCCCCGCTCCTGCCTCTGATTGGCTGAGAAAGCTGCAGTGAGGAGGGAGCTACCATTGGATCTTTACCTCCCCAGTTCCTCCCCGGTTCCACCCTCTTCTCCCGAGTTCTTAATCCCATTTGTTCCCCTGGTCGTCTGTCTCATGCTCCGCCCCATGTTCTAGCCCTTTCCCCGCCTGAAGTCATAAAAGCCCTGCACACCTCAATAAGGGATTCCATTTGCACCTCTGCCTGATTGAGACCTGTCTGTGCTGTGTCATGGCCCTATTCCCCTCCCATTACGGACCGTGGCAAAGAAACACACAGAGTCTCTCATAAAATTGTAACCTGTCCTGGGTAATAGTTTGTCAGTAGAAAAGGACTTTAAGAAATCAGGCATTGGAAGCAGGGGAAACTGGAGGAGGCAGTAAAATCAGGCTGGAAAAGTGGACAGGGCACTCACAGCTTGGATAATTTCTCCATGAGATAATTCCCATTATGTTCTTATGTGGAATTCCTATTTCCATTTTCCTCCACAGGTTGTGTTAGTTTCTAGGCAGTTTTTAAACTTTTGTCCTCCACCCTCCATTCTTCAAACTATGTACTGTGCAACACTACTAAGTGATACTTACCCACGTGGTGGCAAGTGTGTTATCCTGCAAAATCAGATGGATTTTTTTTTGCTTGGCTGCTTCCTCTTTGTCATGTACATAACAGTCTTTTCTCAAGGTTGCAATTCTTCTGTGATCAGTAATTGCCATCAATGAGTAATTTACAGTCATGAGTATTCAATCATGTTTCAAGCCCTTTCCTGTCATCTTGTGCTTGAACTCCTCGAAGGACACTAGGTACCAATGTCTGGGTCACATAGCAAGTTCTCATAACAGACTGATAGCAGGCCAGGTCTGGGGCCTTTAAGGTTAACATTAGGCAAAATTAACCTCAGTGCTTTTGCATATTGCTGTTAATAGCAATATGATTCTTACAGTGTAACTTTCTTATAATTGCATCAGACTTAGGTTTTGCAGCTTCTAGCACTTCACATTGAAGGATCTGTGTTGATTATAGAGTTTTGCAAATGGTAGATGGGTCTAGATAAAGCATGTATTTCGTATTTTAAATAGCCATGACTGACTGCAGCCATTCAAAATTTAAGCATTTACAGCATATGCTACACAACTAATCTATAAAACAGCCTCAGAGAAACATTCTTATGAGGCACTAGAGAATGTATTGGCATCTCCATGTATCTAGAAAGCCTATATTAAAAAAAAGAATGTTTGTAAATACTGTGGATGAGGAACACCTTAAAAACTGTTGAATAACATGTTTTCATCAGAAAGTGAATTTTGCCAACATATTTGAAAGAATCCTTCCACAGTGAGTTTCTACATTTAGCTGTCTTTCTAGGCTATGTCAGCATTAATGAATGTAGCACAAGTGAGCATGTGAAGGAATAAGGATGTCATGTTCCCACTGTCTGCATTTATGTGTTATGGAGGTTGTTTCACACTATCTATAATCTGGTCCTGTGGACTGAATGCCAAGAAACTGGAGAACCAAAAATCTCCGGAAATATATATAATTTTTGTTTAGGTTCACCTCAAAGGAATTCAGGCACTATGAGACCCTTTCACTTCATCCTGAGATGATCTGAATCTTAGTAAATGGAAGATACAGGGACATGTCCCTTCAGAAGAGCACCCAAGATCTAAACTAAAACGCTTGCAAAATGTGGTGATATAAAACTGATAGTTAAAGAATGTACATATTTATGTTACATATAGAATACAATATATACTGAAAAGGTTGATGAAAAACAAGTATAAACTGCAGATTTGACATTTCTTGGTTAACTGCCCTTCTCCACCCCTCAAAAACCCAGAAATTAACAGCTTTTCTAAAACCAGATTATTCTTGAAATATTAGCGTTTCCTTTCCAGAAGTTCAGTCTGGCAATAACTTGATCACAAAAGTCACTGCAGTGTGGCTTAGCAGATAAGCTTTTATCCCAGGGGAAAATTTAGTTGATTTACATTAAATGTTATTTTTGAATATGATTTGTATTCTAGATAGTACACATTAGTGTAAATGCTGTTCCCTGCTTGACATAATCCTTCTCAATATTATTTTGTTTCAATCTACTCTTGCTTCAGTTATGTAGCGATAGGTTAAGTGGTAATGGTTTTAAAGAAAGAGAAGGCAGATGTAGATTAGATAGAAGGAAAAATTCTTTACTACGAGGGTGGTGAGACAATGGAAGAGGTTGCCCAGGGAAGTTGAGGATGTCCCATGCCTGGGAGTGTTCAAGACCGGGTTGGATGGGGCTTTGATTAACCTAATCTAGTGAAAGATATTCCTGCCCATGGCAGGGGTTTGGAACTAGATGAACTACACTATACAGAACTTATTTTTACAATATTGTCTCTGGAGTTAGCAGGTAGGACGTTATAGAGGGTATGTGACAATAGTTCAGCTGGGGAATGGACTATCTTTTGCCATTCTCTTTCATTGTTCTGACTCAAACCATTTGACAATGTTTCTGGTCTTAGAAAATCCGATGCTTGGAATAAATGATTTTCTGCAATATGAAACATACTTCTCACTTAAATCACCCTCAACATAAAGAAATGGAAGAGGGCAAATGAGAAAATGCCTGGGGTTTGCAAGATGAATAAAGGTAGGAAGCACTTTTCATGGGAGTGTGGAGTTAACCTCAGCTGGCAGGTAAGACCTCAACCGTTCTCTTGCTTGCTCCATTGCAGTGGAATGAGGTGGAAAATTGTAAGGGCAACAGTGAGAAAACTCATGGACTGAGGTAAAGACATTTTAATGTGTAGAGGTGAAGAAAAAGAAAAAAAAATAAAAAAACATGTGGTGCAAACACGATAACTTACCATCGGCTAACCAATGCCCAACAGTGGTTACTTGGGAAAAATTGTGTCGCTGGGTATCTGTCGAAAGGGTCCCGGTCCAAGGGGGGAAGAAGACGCACAACACACATGAGGATCGTGAGACAAAGGGATGTCTGCCTGCTCAGAGCAGCAGGCAGCCTTTTATTAGCTTTTCCTACCTCTACTTTCTCATACACATAACACAAACATCTTTTTACAAAAATACTAAGGAATGTGCACCTGCACACAGCTCAAGGCTGTGTCCATGGGGATTATCTGGTTGGCTTCACTGCTCCCTTGAAAAACGGCCTAACACTCCACAATACTCCAAAGTCCTCAGACTTCAGCTGTGGGGCTGTGACTTCCCCCCACATTGTGTTGTCCAACTCTCAGGGCCGCTTCCATGGGAATATGCAGCCACCTCCACCTTTCTCAGGGGAACGCTCTTACTCCCCTCAATGCCTCCAGCTCTTTCGCTTCCAGGGGGCCCAGGGGTTCCATGGGCCTGCCATCTTCCCCCACAAATTCTTGCCTTGTTTTATTGTTGAGCATGATGTTATATGATGTGGAATATCTCTCTTGTCAGTTTGGGTCAGCAGCTCTGCCTGCAACCTCTCCCAGCCTCTTGCCAATCCCCAATCTACTTGTGATGGCAGAGTGAGAAACAGAAAGTCTTGGCACCATGCAAACAATGTTCAGCAATGGATAAAACATTGTGTTTTCAACGTTGTTTTAAGAATAGAATAGAATGGAATATTTCAGTGGAAAGGGACCTACAATGGTCATGTAGTGCAGCTCTCAATTGTTTGGTCACAGATCTGAAACACAGCAACGTACCTGCTGCTATGAAGAAAATTGTCTCCATCCCACTAAGACCCAGTACAATACGAATAGTGTTTTAAGAGATGAGGATTCCTCCATTTGTAAAACAGCTGAGGGAGGATATGATAGGTTAGCATGGAGAAATGTAACGGGGTACAATTATTTCCTTTTTCTCTCAACAGTCCAGGGGAGCGTCAGATGAAATGGTCAGGCTGCAGGTATAAATCAACGAAAAGGAAGTGCTCTTACGCACAGTATGAAGGAAAAGTCTGGAACTCATCTCCAGAGGCTCCTGTGGAGGTTCTCTCTGCAAATGGATTTGAAAAACTCTTAGGCAAATTTGTAGAAGAAAATCAATCAAGGGCTACAAAACAGGGTGCAGATGCAGCTTTTAACCGAAAAAAATCCCCAAATGGCAGACTGCTGGAAACCAGAGAAGTAGGGAGAAAAAGTATCAATCTCTGCTTTTGCTATTCTTAAGCTCTCTCACCCTACATTTTGTACAGGCCCTTTTCAGAAATGGGATATGGGCTACATGGACCTTTGCTCAGATGCCTTGTTTCCTTCTCTGCTTTATGTTCTTATTATTAGACCGCAGTTCATCTGACGTTATACTTTTCCAGTGACACACTTTGAGTAGAGGAGGCTATGGAAGATAGAAACCAGGGTTTCCTGACAAAGATGAATAACTTAAAATGTTCCCTACCTACTCTACTGATTTGTGTTAGGTATTCAAAACTAATTTCTTCTCCAGCAAGTGATTTCCAGTCAGAAACATCCCTATTGACCTGTGTCGTAATTTCTTGTTTAAACAATTTGCAGATGTTTTTTTCCCTTCAAGTCCACCAGTCTAATTTCTTCCTCAGAGTGTGTTCACAGTTTCTTCAAAACCTTCATTCCTTATCCCAAGTCTGTAATGGTCCTTGATGACATTCACCCCTCCCATCTGGCAGGTCACCCTGGTCAGGCAAGGAAGTGGTGATTCTGATTAAAGGTGCAATGAACTAGTTGATTTTAATTAGAGGAGGTTGGAAAACACTCAATTTTAGTCTGCTGCTTTCATTTTAGACAGTTTATCCAATATCTAAATTAAAACCAGCAGGTATCTGATCTGAAAATAAATTGTTTTTCCTTAAATCCAAACCTTAGTGCTTTGGTGTTACTTTCCCTGATGCTTCAGTCTGAATTAGTGGAAACCACCACATCAAATTCTGTTTTGGAATTGTAAAACTTGCTGCACTGTGTTGTTCTCTGGGGGTGGTGTATGGGCTTCAGTGAGGGCTTTTAGACAATTGTTTCTAATAAGGAAATACATCCAGTTAAAACAACTGTTATTTGAAAGTTATTTTCATTGCTATGTTGAAAACACAGAGTTAAAGACTGAAATGGGGCCCATTTTAAGACGGCTTTGACTATAATGATATCGGATTA